ATTCAAATTATTTACACTAATCGAATTAAATAGTCCAACCCCAGCAGCTATAGCAGAGCCAACTAGTCCTATACCTCCAACCAACAAAGGTATGAATCGTTTCCTACGATTACTTCTAGGATATGCCAGAGAAGTTTCAAAATCGCTTACATTACCACCAGCATTCAATAACCGTTGTTTTTTATTAATTTGTTCCAATACCGTAGCTTCATACTCATTACATAAGTTTAACTTGCTTGATTCTTCAGCAGGTAGTAATGTGCACATATAATGTGTAATTGGTACACTAACTGATAAAGCAAATACATCTTCAGCATCAAAATATGTCCCAAAATGAGTAAATGATACACCGGCATTTTCATGAACAATAACTGGTTCTTGATTTAGTATTTGATTAAATATTGTTTCGTTTTCATTGTTGTTAGAAGTACATACATTTAACAATGCAATCATGCAAATTAATGATATTTTTAGTTTGATCACACAAGACATTGTGAGATGATTATTTTAGAAATTATTTTATTAATGAATATTAAAAGGAATAAATGTGTTTTGATCACCAAAAAAGTGACTTTTGATCACCAAATTTATTAGCAGTGAAATGATCACCAAAAAATAAGACTTTTGATCACCAAATCAATTAAAGAAGTTTAAATTAAAGAAAATATATTCAAGAAGAATATATAGCAATTTAATAGAAAATTATTTGCAAATTAATTAGTGGACAGACAAGAAAAAGAATATAAAGAGAATATATACAAGAAGAAGTATGAACAGAAATATGAAAGATATATGAAATATGTCAACAGTTGACGGTTTTCGAAATTGTATTGTCAACGGTTAAGTTTTTTAAAATTTCATTGGTTCTGTCAACTCACAAGAGCTATAAATACCTGCCCTATTCTATAGACGATATCATTACAAAAATGTCGAAGCAAGAATGGAAAGTATTAAAAACAACTACATCATCCGAAGAAGCAAAAGAATACACCTGCAAACATTCAGTTGGATTAGGCATTGTATTCAGCATGTACCAGGTGACGGACAAAACACGTTGTGAACCATTGGGTAAGAGAAAAGGTAAAGGTCGTCCAAAAAAGGTTCGTACAGCTTTGTTGCTGTAAAGTTAGTATTTTTGTTGTACATTTCTTCTTTAATTTAAATTTTCGTTAATTGGTTTGGTGATTAGTTTTTTTCTACTTTGTTTATATTTCTTGTTGTATACATATTCTTCTTTTTTATACTGTCCAGTAATTAATTTTCTATTAAATTGCTATATATTCTTCTTGAATATATTTTCTTTAATTTAAACTTCTTTAATTGATTTGGTGATCAAAAGTCTTATTTTTTGGTGATCATTTCACTACTAATAAATTTGGTGATCAAAAGTCACTTTTTTGGTGATCAAAAAAATTGATACCCATATTAAAATATATTTTGGTTCATATGAACAACAGTCCAATATAACCTATTGACCCTAATTTGAATGAGAATATCTGATTTTAAACTAACTTATGTAAGGATTAATAGATGGAAATAAAAATTTTCGTTACTTATATAGCATCAAGTCTTCATGGTATCTTTATATTATTGGTCACTTTCAAAGAGTGTCCAATTCAATTGATAGAACAAAAAAGATTACTGGAAGAAAAGTGTGACTTCATGAGAAAATTCTCTTTTATTCACAACTGTGCGCTAATTTAAAACATTTGTTGGAATATGAAAAAAATTGTTCTTATCATTCCTAATGATAATTCTAAACAATGTGTTATATTTTTCTGAAAGAACACAGACATACGCACATTGAACTTTCTCACACTTGAAATAATTTTCACACATTTTTCCTAAACGAAAATTTGAACAACTAATACTCTATAATAAGTATGGATTAACAACTAGGTGAGATTTTTGAATAGTTTAGATTGTATTTTAATGTTGAAGAAAAACAGCATCGGACACAATAGCCACGTTTATTTTGAAACCTATAAATTCGAAATATATTCTGAACATATCGCAAACTTTCTGCT